TGGATTGCATTAAGGGTAAGCAAACCAAACACAATAAAAGAGGTGCCACAAAAAGTAAAGAGCTTCTTGAGTTAATCTATACATATATCTGCTCACTACCTATTCCATGTTTTAGTGGAGAAAAGTATTTTATCACCTTTATTGATGATCTATCTCGTTATGGTTATCTCTATCTAATTCATGAAAAATCTCAAGCCGTTGACATGCTTGAGGTGTTTGTTACGGAAGTCGAAAGACAATTAGATAGAAAAATTATAGTTATACGATCAGATTGGGGTGGGGAATACTATGGTAGATATGATGAGTCGGGACAAAATCCTGGCCCATTTGCTAAATTCTTAGAAAAGCGTGGTATTTGTGCTCAATACACAATGCCTGGAACACCACAGCAGAATGGAGTTGCTGAACGTCGTAATCGTACTCTTATGGATATGGTTAGGAGTATGTTAAGTAATTCAACTGTACCCATTTCACTTTGGAATGAAGCCTTGAAAACCGCTATGTATATCTTAAACCGGGTTCCCAGTAAGGCGGTCCCAACAACTCCTTACGAGTTGTGGACTGGTAGGAAACCTAGTTTAAGACATTTACATGTTTGGGGTTGTCCAGCAGAGGCTAGAATATACAATCCAAATGAAAAGAAATTGGACCCTAGAACAATTTCTGGATATTTTATTGGTTATCCACTAAAGTCAAAAGGGTACAGATTTTATTGTCCTAACCATACTACGAGGATAGTTGAAACTGGAAACGCCAAATTCTTAGAGAATGGTGAAGTTAGTGGGAGTCTTGAATCAAGAAAGGTAGAACTTGAGGAAATTAGGGTGGATATTTTACCATCTTATTTCCCTCAAGATGAAGTTACTCTTCAACCTATACAGCAGGTTGAAACAAATGATTCGCCACTCCATTCACCACTTCATGAAGATGTTATTATTGGCAATACTGTAGAACCACCACAGCCGGTAGCTTTGAGGAAATCTCAAAGGGAAATGAAATCTGCCATATCCGATGATTATGTGGTGTATCTACAAGAATCTGATTTTGATATTGGTATTCAAAATGATCCAGTTTCATATTCACAAGCCATGAAAAGTAAAGATTCTAATAAATGGATTGATGCTATGAATGAAGAGTTGAAATCAATGGACTATAACGGTGTCTGGGATCTTGTCGAATTGCCTAAGAACAGTAAGAAAGTTGGTTGTAGATGGGTCTTTAAGACCAAACGTGACTCTAAGGGCAATATCGAAAGATTTAAAGCCAGATTAGTGGCCAAAGGTTTCACTAAAAAAGAAGGCATTGATTATAGAGAAACTTTCTCTCCAGTATCTAAGAAAGACTCTCTTAGAATCGTTATGGCTCTTGTAGCTCATTATGATTTGGAGTTGCACCAAATGGACGTTAAAACCGCTTTTCTGAATGGGGATTTAGATGAAGATATCTATATGGACCAGCCTGAAGGATTTGCAAAACAAGGAAAGGAACACTTGGCTTGTAAATTAAAGAAATCCATATATGGACTTAAACAAACTTCTAGACAATGGTATATAAAATTCAATGATACCATTACTTCCTTTGGATTTAAGGAAAACACTGTTGATCAGTGTATATATCTAAAGGTCAGTGGGAGCAAGTTTATCTTTTTAGTTTTGTATGTGGATGATCTTTTACTAGCAAGTAGCGATCTTGGTTTGCTTCACGAAACTAAGAATTATCTTTCCAAGAATTTTAAGATGGTTGATATGGGTGAGGCAAATTATGTTATTGGGATAGAGATCTTTAGAGATCGATCTCGAGGATTGTTAGGCTTGTCTCAGAAAGGATATATCAATCGAGTTCTTGAAAGATTTAATATGCAGTTTTGTTCAGCCATTAATGCTCCTATCACGAAAGGTGATAAATTAAGTGAAAAGCAATGTCCAAAGAATGATTTGGAAAAGGAGAAAATGAAATTGATTCCATATGCATCAGCAGTTGGAAGTTTGATGTATGCACAGACGTGTACTAGACCAGATATTAGTTATGCAGTGGGAGTACTTGGTAGATATCAAAGTTATCCGGGAATAGATCATTGGAAAGCAGCAAAGAAGGTTATGAGGTATCTTCAAGGAACAAAGGATTACATGCTTACTTATAGGAGATCGGACCAATTAGAGATGATTGGTTATTCAGACTCCGATTTTGCTGGTTGTGTAGATAGTAGAAAGTCCACATCGGGCTTTGTATTTCTACTAGCTGGTGGAGCAATCTCTTGGAAGAGCGTAAAGCAAAGTATTATTGCTTCTTCCACAATGGAGGCTGAGTTTGTAGCATGTTTTGAGGCCTCGAGTCATGCACTATGGTTGCGAAATTTTATCTTAGGGCTTAAGGCTGTTGACTCAATTGCTAAGCCTTTGAAGATATATTGTGATAACACCGCAGCCGTTTTCTTCTCTAAGAATGGAAAGTATTCAAGTGGATCCAAGCACATGGATCTTAAGTACTTGGTTGTTAAAGAAAGAGTCCAGAAACAACAAGTGTCAATAGAAAATTTAAGTACAACTCTTATGGTTGCTGATCCATTAACCAAGGGATTGCCTATAAAGACATATGAGGAACATGTTATTAAAATGGGTCTTTTGAGCAATCCATGATTTGATGAGTTATGATTATGTAATTGACACTTAATTTATTTAATCAAATGTTTCTGTTTTTCCTGTTTCCTATTATGTGTGCACATATTATATTTGGATTTAACAGGATTTGTCCTAGCAAGACAAAATTAAAGGGGCTATTATGGATTAGAATAGTAAGGGTTATTAGTGGCGTGATACATAGAAGGGAATATGATGAATGAATCATATAACCGCTATGATTCACATTAATAACTCAAACTAGTTCTAGTATTAAAGTACTCTATTTACCTGTTATGGTAATCACCTTAATTTTCTTTTAAAATCGTGATCACGTGTCAAATGTTTTGTATGAAGAACCCACCGAGTCAAATATATATATATTTTTTTTAAACTTATGTTTCTTAAATCGATTCAGTGGACCAAGTGGGAGAATGTTAGTTTACGTTTTAAAACGTTTTAATTTTTGGTCCACTAATCTTTATTTTAATTAATTAAATTGTGGGTAATTCAAATCATGGTATTAAGGTGATTTTATGGTAATTGATTTGTAACGTTGAAGGCAATAAAAGACCATGATGGGTGGAATTTGTCTTCTGCCGTTACAAATCAATCGTGGCCCTCTTCTCTCGTCTATAAAAGCATCCACAGCTCTTCTCCTCAACCATCAGACGCAATTGAGAATTCCATCACTTACAGAATATTAGTGAGTTGTGATATTAGAGAGATAGAGAGAAGAAGGTGTGGTACGAATAAAGTTCTCACAAGGAGATTCGAAGGAGGTCTGGCTAGGCTCGGCTTGTAGATTGCTATCGTTCATCGTCTCTATCGGAATTCATGGCGAACGGTATGTCGATAATCCTAATTATGTGTTTATGTTCTTAAGATGAATTTGATTTCAAGATTCTGTGATTAAAGTTTTCCGCATAAAATAAATAAAAGTCTTTCATGAAAATGTCGGGATTTAAGGTTGTCTTCTGGAGAATTTTCGGACACGTGGCGTTCGATAAATCTCGTCTCGAGACTCTTAAAGTACGATCGGAGTAATTAATTTCCAGGACCCGGTACGACAACGACGGCGAGATGTTGAGCGTTGGGATATCGCCGTCGCAGTTGAGCTCGAAGCCCGGATGGCCGCCGCAAGACAGTGGCCGGCGGCCGCCGCCGCCCCAGAATGGATATCTTATGTTTGTTAAAATGCCGCAGTGAAATGGCTGCTTACAGACTGCGTATTCTTGATTGTTTTGACTTAAAAACACTGGAAAGTGAATTGATAAAAGGGTTGTCTGGATAAGGAGAAAAAGTTTCCGATTCATTTTTCTTCAGACAGAAGTCGAGATTAGCGGTCTACTATAAAGGAAATATAGTTGATTAATGATGTATTGGTTCGCAATAAATGGTTATTATATACAAATTATTAAACTTTTTTTTTTTGGGTTTAAATAGCACTTCAACCCCTGTGGTTACAAGTTTTTGCAAATGATCAATTTGTGCTTGTAATATCAGCAAATAACCCCTTTGTGGTTTATGGAGTAGTTTTTGTTAGTTTTTCTGTCAAACTTAATCACATGTGTCACACGTCAAAGTATTTTTTTTTCCAGATGACCCCCCTGTGCTTTCATTTTCCCTCTCATTTTTACAGATGACCCTTTGAAGTTTGATACAGGCGGTTTAGTTTAACCGAAAACTAACGAAAGGTACCCCTATAAACTACAAGGGGTTATGTGCTGGTATTACGAGTATAGGGGGTCATCTGCAAAAGCTTGTAACTACAGGGGTTAAATGCTATTTACCATTTTTTTTTACAAGTATTCTAATTCTTGACTTGGTAGCCAACATCACTCCCTTTTTTTTTTATAAAAGCATCACTCCCTAGTCCCTAGTATATATACATATATATATTATATATTTTCTTTATTTTTTATTATTATTATTCAAAATTATTTTATGCACTCAGGACGGCAAATTAGTAGTATTATTTGTTTCTTAAACTGCTTATTTAAGACTTTTGGCCATTTTTCAATTTTTTTATTTTTTCATTAGGATTTTGTATTTGGGACATACGTGACTAGTGCAGGTAAGAACTAGGAAGTTGTGTTGACTTAGATAGATTGGTCTTCAAATTAAAGAGATTAGGGAAGCTGCAATAATTATTGAAGTAAATAACACCATGCAATATCTTTTCAATTGTAATTAATTCAATTTGGGATGGAAAGCCAATATAAAAATTTACAACATTTGTGTTTTGCAACTTTTAAAATTCATTTTGTATCATTGTTTGATTGTTTCTAAAACCAGTGTGACACTTATTAAATAAGATGGAGGGTATTCTTGTCATTAAGGACCTATAAAGAAAGGAAAAAAGAAAAGGAAAAAAAAAAGGTCTTTTAGATGCTTTTAACTCTTTTAGGATTGAATTGTGGAAGGCAAAATTCTTGCTCTAAAAAATAACAAACTTCTCACATCAAAATGACAAATGAAGATTTTACAATTTAAGACTAATACAATTTTTCAATTAACCAGTAATCAAATAGTTACAACATTAGATGAATTTTCAGTCTCCACGTATGTTGAAAATGACGAGGAACCGTCTTGTGCCGGTAAAATAGGAGTGCACAAAACTGGCTTCGGTGGAATTTGTATAGATTGTAGGCTTCCTTCTAACATTTCCAAAACCTTCGACATCGTTGGCCTATCCGATGGATTTGTTTGAATACACCAAAATCCTACCAAAAACATTTTCTTCGTCGTTTCTTCCAAGTCCTCTTCAAACGTGAAATCGCCCAACCTCTTGGTTACATCAAGTACAACTTCCTCGTAGATTTTATCCGGAAAATAATTCTCACTCGACTGAATTGCCTCATTTTCGACAAATTTTCTCGCTCCAGCCATTTCAAGGACCATCATTCCATAGCTATAGACATCAGATTTATAAGAAACTCCTCCAAAATTTCTCGAGAATACTTCGGGAGCAATATAACCAATGGTCCCTCTTGTCCCAAGCACTGATAATATGCTTTGCTTTTTCTTACACAACTTAGCAAGCCCAAAATCCGATATTTTCGGACAGAATTCCTCGTCTAAAAGAATGTTTTGAGGCTTAATGTCAAAATGAACAATCCTAGTCTTGCAGCCTATGTGCAGATATTCTAGTCCCTTGGCAACTCCAACGGCAATCTCGTACAATTTCTCCAAATCCAGGCAATTATTGTCGTTGATGAACTTGTCTAAAGATTTATTGGGCATAAACTCGTACATTAAAGCTCTCTTATTTCGATCAAACGAAAATCCCAAGAGGTTGACAATATTGACATGGGAAGTTCTACTAATGCTAGCAACTTCATTTATGAATTCTTCTCCATTGCCATCGGCCTCGATCAGAACCTTGACAGCAACGAGGGTTCCATCAGGTAATACACCTTTGTAGACACTTCCATATCCTCCTTGACCAAGCTTCTCATTGAAGGATTTGGTCATTTTCTTGATTTCTGAATATTTGTATCTCTTTGGAGCGAGTAATCCATGTTGTAATAGAATACTTTCGACATCTTGATTAGATTTCTTATTAGGGCCAGTTGGCGGACGTCGTCTCTTAAGAAATAAATATATGGCAAGGAACACTATAATCACACCAGTTACACAAAGTAGCACCACCACTGCTGCATATTATTAGCAGATATTCGTTACATGATCCATAACATAGAGAAGTAAATATAAAACATAACGTAGAGCATGCGAAGGTACAAGGATATTATCCTTACCTAGGACAATTTCAGTAACACGCTTTCTCCCTGCATATGTAAACCTTAAAACCTTAGACAAAATAGTTACAACTTACATAACCATAAGAAAAGAGAAAAGGAAAAACATTGAGAGGATAAGTTCTGGATATTTCCAGGGTAATAAACTGTAGCAATCGGAGATAAACTAGCTAGGAGGCATACCGTGTCCGGTGCGAGAATCGTTGCCGTCACTTTCAGGGGAAGGAGCTCGTATGGAATCAGGAGGCATACCTTGATGAAATAAGGTAGTTAAGTCCAAAGAAATTTAATTTTCTTGTACAATACATAGGGGTGGAAATCGAACGAATCTAATCACAATTAGCTCTTTTAGAAACTTCCCATTTTTTTCCGAAAGCAATTAAGAAATTCCAATTACGCTCGTAAAGGAAGAAGATCAGAAATTTTCCGATCGGAATATGCGGAACTCGGAAAATTCAAATGTTTAAGTCATGTAAAAAATAAAATGTATAATAATATTGATATTATAAGTGTAATTTTTGGAAACTAAAATTTGATCGGAATCGGAATCTCATACATATAATATATTCCAATCATGATCCAAAAGAAATTGGAAAAATCGGTATCGGAATGAGAATCTCATAAATATTTCAAACCCGATCCAAAAAAATTACAAATCGGTATCGGAATTGCAGGAATTTGGAATTGAAATTATGGTTAAGTGCACTTTACCCCCGTACTTTGGCCCTTCTTGCGCTTTGACCCCCCAAACAATATTTTTTGCACGATATACCTGCACTTACTGATTTGTTGCACCGATGATCGTGCAATTTTTTTTATGTTTGGAGTGCAAAGCGCAAAACGACTAAAGTACGGGGCGCAAAGTGCACTTAAGTCTTGAAATTATCATTTCAAAAATCTGAAAATTGCAGATTGAAATTGATGAAAATCGGAGATCCCTACAATGTCCACCTTTAACAATTCTTATCCATTATCACCGAAATAGAAATTACAATTCCGAAACTTGAATTTAGTTTTCAAATGGGTCAAATAAACTAGGGTTGGGCATGGGTCGGGTCAGGTAATTATCGGCCAATTACCTACCCGACCCGACAACGTAACCCGATTTTGCTGAATATTGAAAATCAATACTGACCCGACCATTATAGTTAGGATAATGGTTGACAACCGACTTATTATCGGCCATTTATTTATTCATTTATTTTAAAAAAAAATTATAATAGTAAGATGTTTTAAAAAGTTTTTTCAGAAGATATTTAAAATTTTGGGAAAACTTGTACTGCAAAAATGTTAACTTTAAAATTAAGAGTCTTTTTTTTATTAAACTTCTACAATAAGTAAATATATAATCAAAGAATAAAAAATAAAAAAATAAAAATTATAAAGTAGAAATAGTATGTAGAGGTTTATAAATTTATGTTTCGAGTTTTGACTTCTTTTATATATTATCTCAACGTTAAAAAAAAAAAAAAGAATTGCAATTAAATATTTATAATAATTTTTATTATTAAAAAAGTCGGTTGGCCGATATTACCCGATCAACCGACTTTTGAGTAAACTGAAAACCACCGACCGACCCATTTATATATGGGTCGGTTAAAATTACCGGCACGACAACAAAATTATCGGCCGAAAAAATTATGGATCAATAAAAGCGGGTCAAAAGTGGGCCGGTTGGCCAATAAAACCGACCCATGCCTAACCCTAAAATATACATTAAAATTTCAAAGTCTTTAACAAGTAGTACTCAAAAAATATCATATCTACGTACTCTCTTTGTTTAAAACTACGTACTCTCTCCATTTCAGTCTAAGAACACTAACAAATATGTTAGTTCTTTGATGAAAAATGAAGATAATAGACTTGATGTAGTCCCTGAAGTATGAAGCACAAATCTTATAATCATAAGATATGGGCCCAATTATTAATTAACGTTCAAGATCATATTTCAGGCTCATAATTGAAAATTAATCTAACATTTAAATAGTTCCGATCAATTATCACTACAGGTAATTCAATTTTCCTTATTGTAGTTTTTACTGTAGAATATTTTTCTTACATTATCCCCATATTTCTCTCTCTGTCTCTCTCGTATTTGAACTGATTTAAGCATTGGAGGATTTTCGCCGGAACCAAGCTCCGGCGCCCTAACGAGTATTTTTACGTAGGAAACGCTTCTCCCTGTCTATCGAAGGATTATTTATATTCTCAAATATTTATTACATGAGGTTCGAGAATTATCTTGAGGTGATTCAAGAGACTAAAATAGTATTTGTTTTATGAAATTTCCATCTTATTATTTATTAATATTCTCTCTCTAGTCTCCATAGTCTGTGTACGAAATAACTAACAGGTAAAATAATTCATAATCTGAACATGTAAACAACAAAGTAAACTGTAATTAAAATACCTTGAGGCGGCGGCATGGGGCCAACAATGGAGTCGCCGCGGCCCGTGCTGCATCTGGTTTGATAATTACAAGGGCGGGCCAGAGGAGGAGTGCAAGAACCATAAACTTGACGATTGCAAAAAGGGATAGAACGCTCTTTCCCATCCGACAACCACTGGACGGAAAATCCAGAAGCAAGAGCCGCCTGCAAATTTTTAACCGGAGAAACCGTCGGAATCTTTAAAGACTGCGCGTCATCCTTGCTCACCGGAACGGAAATACTCTCCCCGCACGTGATTTTGTGTCCGGAGCCCGCCGGCGATACGTCGAACAGATTGACTGCGCCGCTGCCGTTGCAGCTGAATAGATTGGGGTTCGTTTCCAAGTAACCGGGCTCGCCATTTTTGTCGGAGCAATCGTAGTAGAGAGTGACGTTGTTTTCTTCGGATTCGGGCGTGTATTCGAAGAGGTCAAGGTCTATGGTTGTGTTGCTGATAATTTTCGGACAAGTGGTTGTCAACAAGTCCTCTCTCGCGATCTTGAGTGTTTTGCCGTCGAAATTAATTTGTTGTACTACGTACGTTAACGATGAGATATTCAGCATCGGGACGCCGCCGTGACAGATGAGCTTGTAGCCTTGGCCGCGGCCGCAGTCCGACGAGCGGGCGCCGCCCCAGAACGGGTAGCTTAAGTACCGGACGTTGCCGCAGTCAAATGGCTTGCCACCGTCGCAGTTAGCCGGAGAAGTTTGACAGAAAAAACATGGGAAGTAGATTAGTAAGAAGATTGCCTGAAACCAGAGTACTAAATGTTTGGATTCCATTTTAGAGAGAGAAAGCTTAGACTGGTTGTTTCCCGGGAATATGAGTGGTTGGTTTATAATTTCTCATTGATCCTTCAAAGACTTGGAGTCAACGTTTTCGCCCAATATAATATATTTCTTATATTTTCAACATCCTTATTTTCCACCCCTAAACAGTCTGCCTATTAATTTAAAAAAAAAAAAAAAACAAATCACTAAATTCCAGCAGCAGTACTGTTGGGCTTTTCAAGTATTATGAAGCAACTAATTTTAAAATAATTTGGGGAATTATTGGTTTACTTAATTGGCTTGTTCAACTTAGAACAACTTCGATAGAGAGGTGTCAAAATGGAGCATCAAATACTCAATTGATGCTCGAGATTTTGATATTTTTAAAGTACTCATATGCTCCAACTCATAGGCATTAAATAAATTATTATCCATTTTTCATTGAAATTTATTGAGCTTTTATTTCTTTTTCCCGTTGGAACTGTTAGAGCTATTATTAAGGAATATTTAATTCATCCCTTTTTTTGTTGCATTTTTGCACCTCCAGAAGATTAAATATCAAACTAACAACCACTTTAATGCTTCTCTCGGAGTGAAATATTTTGACTTTTCGGAATCAAAATGGTAGTTTTATAATTTAATATTCCATTTGGTTCTTCCATTAATGGCTTTATGGGGGATAATTACACTTTTCGTCCCTATACATTACCACTTATACGATTTTCGTCCCTAAACAAGATGAAGTTACACTTTTCGTCCCTATACATGTCACTTTTATGCTGTTTCTGTCCCTCCGTCCATTTGTCCAGTTAGTTTGGACGGAAAAATCGCACGTGCGCCGCACGTGACACACAAAAGCACCTCAACACCTCAAAACGTTCAATTACGCATTACAGGTAAACACAATCTGCCCTAATTCTCTCTTGAATCCAAATGCCCCCTTTTATAAATCCCTAATTTCTTCCACATCTCACCTGTAAATCCCTAGTTTCTTGAAGTAAAAAAGTGTTCAATCACCAATATTATCACTGATCACGATTTTTGGAGTAGATTACAATTTCTGGAGTGGAGCTACGGAATTGCGACAAATACTAGGGTTCTTCATCTAAGGACAACAAAAATGTCGAGAAGAGCTTCACTGATGCTAGAATGTACTCTGAATTACGGTAAGTTTATTTTGTTTAAATTAACTTTTGTTTGAGCGAAATTGTTTGCCTTAGCTGATTACTGATTGGAGTTTTTTTTTTTTTTTTTTTTTATTATTTTAAATAAAGCTTGTGTTGGGGAATTAACATGTTTCACCATTAAAATGAGACATGGTGGAATTATGAAGCACTCTCCAAAAAGAGAGTACATAGGAGGAAGTCTTGAATGGTTTGATTTTGTCGATATAGATCAAATAGGGATGTTTGACTTTTGGGGTTTTGCTGAGGAGCTGGGGTACACTGAAAAATGGAGTCTTAGGTTTTGGCTTAAGCATGGAAAAAGTTTTGATAAACACTGCAAGTGTATTGAGACTGATAGTGATGTGTTTAATATAAGAGGGCATATTCCAAAAAATTGGGAAGTTGAGATATTTATTGAACATCTAAATCTGGGAGTGGATGTGGAGGGTGAAACTGGGGGTAGGTTAGTCAATGAGGCTGTTATAATTGATGATGTAGGGTTGGAGGGAGAGAATAGTGAATCTGATGAATTTAGTGAGGATGATGATGTGTTTTATCAAAGTGATTATGACATGGAAGATGATGATAAATTGTTTGAGCAATTTGTAGATCCTGAGACTGAGTTTGGGGGGTTGGGTAAGGGTAAGTCTGTTGCAGATGATGATTTCATTAGTGAGGAAATGTATAATAGGCTGCAAAATGAAGAAGGTGATGAAGATTGTGTAGTTAGTGATGATGATTTTGACAGCTCAAATGGTAGTGATGAGGATGAGGGTAAGGGTAGAATGAAGTTCCCCAAATTTAATCCTAAAACTGAGAATAAGAATCCAGACATCATGCTAGGATTGATTTTCAGTTCCAAAAAAGAGGCAAAATTTGCTATTGAGTCTCATTGTTTTAGAAGGGGTATGATGGTGAAATTTCCAAAAAATGATGCCATTAGACTCAGGGCTGTGTGTAAAAAAGAGGGTTGTGGATGGTACATTCATGTCTCCAAAATGCAATCTTGTGGATGGCATTTTTATTTTGAAGACAATCTTGTGTTTTTATGAATATGTAATTTGTTCTATGAAGTACTTTGAATTATGTAGTGTTTTTGGGAACTTGCAGTTTAGTTTGATGTACTCTAATGTGAGATGTCATATGTTTGTACTTTGAATGATGTTTTTGGAATCATGAATGATGTTTTTGGAATCAATAATGTAGTCTATGTTTTATTTTATTTTTTGTAGGTGATGCTTGCATTTATTTTGTCAATCTGTTAACATGTACCAAAAATGCAAACATAATTGAGATACAAACTTGCATTATATTGGACAAAAAAAACAACAATGTTATCACAAACAACTACATCTTGACCACTAATATTAATCACTGAAAATTCTAACCACTAATTTTCATCATTACAATGACAATTAAACAACCTAAGACAACCAAAAGAACTTTCAAGATCTTCATTCTATTGTTATACATCACAATTAAATTTTCCATTTTCTTTATTTTTCTTTCATATGACTTCTTTTCCTTTGCCATCATATCTTCTTGCTTTGCCATCATATCTTCTTCATTTGCCCTTATATCTCTTTTTTTCCTTATAGCTGGCCAATTCATCATTCAAACGGTCTATTCTTCTTATCAATCCAGGGATAATATTCTTTGATCTAGCACACATTTCAGGATCATGCCATTTGAACACATCACAGTTTTTAACTCTCTGTTCCAAAAGAAACACAATTGTGTGTGACAAATAATATCAATACACACACACACATACACACACACACACACACAAAAAAAAATTACCTCATAGTTTGGACAGGCACGAAATCTTCTTCCAGGATTACTAGGAGTCCATGAGGTCAACAATGGCATCTCATCTCCACATTTACAATAAAACACTTCATTTCTAGCAGATCTTGAATTGTAGCTAGAACCACTATTTTGACTCATCCTTCAAGCTCCATTCCCCAATATAAAACAACAAATTCTTAATTTTTGTTTCCAAATTAAAATCTGGGATAAATAAAGAGAGAAGGAAATTTACTTCAAATTCGCGACCGCAAGTTCTGAAATTATCTACCTGCGCTGAAGAAGCTTCAAAATTTGAATTGCCCACTTTCTAATTGTGCTTCCAATGATGAATTCATAAGGAATTGAGAAATTTCGAAAATTGGGGCTTAGGGTTTTCCAGAGAATTTTGGTATTTATAAAATTATTCTAATAATCTGAACGTTTTGAGGTGTTGAGGTGCTTTTGTGTGTCACGTGCGGCGCACGTGCGATTTTTCCGTCCAAACTAACTGGACAAATGGACGGAGGGACAGAAACAGCATAAAAGTGACATGTATAGGGACGAAAAGTGTAACTTCATCTTGTTTAGGGACGAAAATCGTATAAGTGGTAATGTATAGGGACGAAAAATGTAATTATCCCGCTTTATGGAGTAGATTATACATACGAAACAAAAATATCAATAATATTAGTATGAGTATCAATATCGGTATGGGTATCATTATTAGTATCAGTATCGGTATTAATTTTGGAATCAATATTGATATTAGTATCGATCTTAGTATCAGTATCAGTATTAGTATAGTATCAGTATCAGTATCAGTATCAATATCAATATCAGTATCGGTATCGGTATCGTTATCAATATTGATATATGTATCAGTATTATTAGTATCAGTATCGATATCAATATCAGTATCAATATCAGTATCAGTATCAGTTTCAACAAAATATCAGTATAGGTATCGGTCTTGGTATCGGTATCGGTATCAGTATCGGTATTGCTCACGGTATCGGTATCGGTATCAGTATGGTGTTGTTATCGGTATCGCGATATCAATATCGGTATCGGTATCGGTATCGGTATCAATATCATTATCGGTATTGGTAACGATACCGATAGCGGTATTAGTAACGATATCGATAGCGGTATCGGCATCGGTATCGGTATCGATATCGATATCGGTATCGGTAACTGTATCGGTATCAGTATCGGTATCGGTATCGGCATATGTATCGATATCGGTATCAGTATCGTTATCGGTATATGTATCGTTATCGGTATCGGTATTGGAATTGGTATCGGTATCGGTATCGGTATCGTTATCGGTATATCTATCGCTATCGGTAGTCGTATGCGTATCAGTAAGCGTATAAGTATCAGTATCAGTATCAGTTTCAATATCAGTATCAGAATTTTACTAGTATCGGTATCAGTACGTTATCAGTATCGGTATCGGCATCGGTTGACATGGTTATCGGTATCGATATCAGTATCAATATCAGTATCAGTATCAATATCAATATCATATCAATATTAGTATCAGTATCAGTGTCAGTATCAGTATCGGTATTACTATCAGTATTAGTATCAGTATTAATAATAAAATTAGTATTAATATTAGTATTAGTGTTAGTGTTAGTATTAATATTAATATTAGTATTGGCGTTAGAATGTGCATTAGCATTTACTTTAACATTAGCATTAATATCAATTTTAGTATATGAATAGTAGTGTTAGTATTAGCATTGGTATTCGAATTAGTATTAGCATTAGTATTAGCATTAGCAATAACATTAATATTAGTATTAGTATTAGTATTAGTATTAGTATTAGTATTAGTATTGGTATTAATATTAGTATTGGTATTAGTATTAGTATTAGTATTAGTATTAGTATTAGTATTAGTATTAGTATTAGTATTAGTATTAGTATTAGTATTAGTATTAGTATTAATATTAGTATTAGTATTAGTATTATAAGCATTAGAATGTGCATTAGTATTTACTTTAACATTAGCATTATTAATATCAATTTTAGTATTAACATGAATAG